CGCGCCCCCGCCTGCGTGCGCGCGCCCGCTGGGGCAGGGGGCGGAGCGGTGAGGGCGCGGCCGGCGGAGCTTGAGGGTGCAGGGTCGCAGGCGCGAGCTAGTGCCCGAGGCGGCTTTCCGCCCTGCACCTGTCGACGCGGAGAGGGGCCGGCCTACGAGCCGGAAGGACCCGGGAGGATTTGAGAAGCTTAAGGAAAGGCATGAGGGACTCCTGAGATCCTTTTGGAAGTTGAAGGCTATACAGGTGGTCAGTACGGCAGGGTACATTTCAGCATATCGTTTCAGAGTTTAACCCCAAATTGGGTTTTACCTCCAAGCCAATGGGAAACCCAGACCAGGCTCTTTGGCTGTATTTTTCCAATTATAGGTAGTATTTCAAAGGATGATTTGAGTTTTTTTGTTAAACCAAGGAAGATTAGCCCTTTAACGGAATGATTTCAAAAATGAGGGCTTTTAAATTTTTGTTTCCATCATTTAATGTTTAAAATAAGGTGTTTAACCTTTTTATATTTGTTTTTTTTTTTCTATAAGACTCATCACTTGGGACCTGGCTAATGGTGAACTAGCTGTGACTCTCACAAATTGAGGCACATATATATATATTTTTCTTTCTTTTAAAGTGTCAAGGGCAAGAGATGTATTCATGTTGTTATGTTGCTTAGTGCCATTGAGTCAGTTTCGACTCAGCAACCCTGTATAAGGTTTCCGAGAAGCAGTTGTGGTTAGTAGTCCAGTGCTTATCCTACAGTCCCCAGGACTCCAGTTCCCCCCCATATTCCTTATAGAAACTTCTCAGATTGAACCCTTTTATTAACAAAGCTCAATGAAGAATGTTACTTTAGACCGGTGCTGCCCAGTAGAAATATAATGGGAGCATTATATTTTGACTCTAGTAGCCATATTTTTTCCAAGTAAAAATAAAACAGGCAAAATTAACTTTAGTAATCCTTCAGGAAAACTGTACATCAGGATTATATCCTTTTACCATACTTTTCGATCCATGTGCTGAGCAAATTAGCCAAGAAGTTACACTATACGAAGAAGAATGGGCATCAGGATTGGAGGAAGGCTCATTAACAACCTGCTTTGTAGCACTGTGGGTTAATGTGCTGGACTGCAAAGTCTTTGATCTGCAAGGTCGGCAGTTCAAGCTCACCAGTCACTCCTTGGTAATCCTATACAGGGTCGCTGTGGGTCAACCGCACTTAATAACAACAACAAATATGCAAATGACACAACCTTGCTTGCTAAAAGCAAAGAGGAGTTGAACTACTGGTGAAGGTCAGAGACTACATACAATCTTCAATATGGCTTAACACTTTAACATAAAACACAAGTCCTCACCATTGGATCAATAAACAACATCATGATAAATAGAGAAAAGGTTGAAGTTGTCAAGAGTTTAATTTTACTTGGATCCACAATCAATGCCCATGGAAGCAGCAGTCAGGAAATCAAAGTACTACATTGGGCAAATCTGCTGCAAAACACTTTAAAAGTGTTCAAAAAAGATGCTGCTTGGAGGACTATAGTGTGCCTGACCCAAGCCATGGTTTTTTCATTTGCTTCATATGCATGTAAAAGCTGGATAGTGAATAAGGAAGACTGAAGAATTGATGCATTTGAAGTAAGGTGTTAGTGAAGAAGATTGAATATACCATGGGATGCCAGAAAAATGAACAAATTGATCTTGGAAGAAGTACAGGCAGAATGTTCCTTAGAGGTGAGGACAGTGAGATGTGTTTTCACATACCAGTCCCTGGAGAAAGGCCATGCTTGGTAAAATAGAGGGTGAATGAAAAAAATAAAGACCCTTAATAAGGTGGATTGACATGGTGGCTATCACAGTGGGCTCAGACATACCAATGCAACAGTGGACTCAATCATCGGGAGGATGGCACAAGACCAGGCAGTGTTTCCTGCTGTTGTGCTTGGAGTTGTTGTAAATCTGAACTAACTCTACAGCACCTAACAGCAGTAATATATCTTAACCCAAGACTTTGGCCCCTGCGGCTCAAATTTCAACCAAACAATAGGTCTGTAAGGTGAACCATAACACCAGGAAAATATGCACTCCTTAGTACATCCAAACATAGGAGATCAAAAGGGCAACAGGGATAAAGCTCAGCAATCCTGATGGATGGGAAAGAAGGACAAATGGGAATGTAAACAGGAAGGAAATGGAAAGAGTGCTGTTACATTGTGGGGCTTGCAACCAATGTTATAAATCAAAATGTGTATGCTTTGTTGAATGGAAAACCAGTTTGTACTGTAATTTTTTAAAGTACCCAAATCTCAATAAAGAGTTAAACATTTTTAAAATTTTAAATGCAGCTTATTTAACTCAATATATTTCAAATATTATCATTTCAACATGTAATCAATATAAAAGACATTCATGAGATATTTTACATTGTTTTTCAATACTAAGTCTTGAAAATCCGGTGTGTGTTTTACATTTCCAGCACAGCTCAATTTGGACTAGCCACATTTCAGGTGCTCAATAACCACATGTGCCTAGTGGCTATTGTATTAAGCAGCATAGTCTTAGACATTGAACCTACCTACTTACCATCTGAATCCTCTAGATATTTTAGAAAGCTGCCGTCCTTTCAAACTAAGATGTGGGACAGGGCCTTTGGCAGGCACTTGGATGTATTTCCATCAAGTAGTAATGTTAAAGTGCAGTTGAGTAAGTTCCAACTCACCTTGAGACCCTACATACAACACAACAAAAAGCACTGCCCTACCCTGCACCATACTCACAACATTCATTAAGTGCTTCCCACATACTTTTCATGTATTAACTTGTTTAGTCCTCTCAACAACTCTGAGGTAGACACCATTATCACTATTTTACAGATGAGGAAACAGGTACGTACAGATGCAGTGACTTGCCAAAAGGTCACATAGCTAATGAGTGTCAAAGTATTTTTCCTCTCCTGGAGAGCTTTGCAGTAATTTCCCTATTTTTCTAACTTTCCAATTTTGATTTATTTTAATCCACTTTATCTCATCCTTGTAAAAAGTTATTCTCATTATACAAGAACCCAAGGTTCCTTCTTGTGTGTTAAAGCAATTTTTATTTATAACTATTTAAGGCTCTCTGTGAACTCCTTACTGTTTTCTCAGACTTGTTTCATCTTACCCTTGAAAACAGATTCTCCAATCTTAGCAAGCTAACCTGTTTACCGCCTGACCCATACTGCTTGCTCATTATCTCTTCACTACATTGCTCAAGTCTTTCTCTATTGCTAGAATGAACTCATCCTTTTCAGCACACCGCTGACCCTCCCTTCCTTCCAAACTCATCTTTTCCAGAAAGTTCTCATTGACCAACTCCACCCAACTCTAACCTATTTCCCATCAGCTCACAGGTACTTGGTTGTTGCTGATTTACTAGTACAGTACTTGTTCCATTGTTCAGTAATTGTGTTGTTAGTTTGTTTTATATTTATATCTCTGTAAGATATACTACAGGAGCTCTGGTAGCGTAGTATTACAAGTCGGGCTTCTAACCTCAAAAATTAAGCAGCTGTTCCATGGGGGGAAAGATGAGGCTTTCTGTTCCCATAAAGATTTACAACCTCGGAAACCCTATACAGGGTCACTGAGTCTGAACTAACGCCATAGCACATAGCCACCAACACCAAGATATACTACTAGTAAGAACTTCCCTTCTGATTCTTTTAAAACAGTCTGTACTGGGCTCTGCACAAGGTATATCTCAGGTGTTATTGACCAGACCAACCAATTAATGAAAGAATTAATTGTACCCAGTCTGTAGCTTTGCCTTTCTGCAGATGTGTGCTGCACAGAGAAGCTATGTGAACCTATGACTAGAGGCAGTCTTCTTTTAAAAACATGATCACAGATTTCATGGTAACAGTATTGTGAACCTGCTGTAGGGAGTGGGATGAAACTTACTTGGTCCCATCCTTAGTCCTGTAACCCAGGAAGCCCCAATGCAACAAGTCAAGAGTGAGCCCAGGCCCACTAGTCACAGATTGAGATGATGAAATAGGAAACCACATGTTGTTAAGTGCCACTGAGTCGTTTCCGACTCATAGTAACCCTGTATAGAGTTTCCAAGGAGCAGCTGGTAAGTTTGAACTGCCAACCTTCCAGTTCAAATCGACCTTGCAGTCTAGTACATTATCTCACAACACCATACCAGGACTCCAGGAAATAACATACACAGCCCTTAAGTAAGACTGGAAAATAAACAACATATGCTGCAGGCAGGCTTCTTTGAAGTTACTGAAATTAGGTACTCAAAGACCCTTGGAAACTCATTTCCCTCCATGGTGTTTCAGAAGGAGTGGAGAAGTCAGAAATGTCTCAAGGTCACTAGCCCCACTTCTGATAGATTTCTAGGTTTATAGAACAACTGCTAATGATAAACCTATGCTGCCCAGCTATGAACTTCAATTAAAAAGAAAAAGAAACTTCAAAACCACCCAAAAAAACACCTACCTGATACAGCTTCTCCTTGGAAACCCTATATATACAGGGTCGCTATGGGTCAGAATCGACTTGACAGCACTTAACAACAACAACGATACAGTCATAGGCATTTTGGGGTTTTGTTTGTTTTCTAGAGGGGATTCCAAAGTGGTAATCTTTTCTTTTTTTTTTTTAACTGTGAATCATATAAAGGTTTACAGAGAAGATCAGGTTTCCATTTAACAATTCACACATATTTTGTTTCATCTCATTGATTGCAATCCCCACAATGAAACATCATTTATCCCACTTCCTCCTTGGGTTTCCTGTTTCCACTCCCCCTCCTTTCATAACCTTTCTGAACTTTGTCCCTGGGTAAATGCTGCCCTTTTGATCT